AAAAAAAAAAAAAGGACAGGCAGATGTAAGTTAAGTTGAAGTCACACTGAATTAGAGTGAGCCCTAAATCCAATGCCTGATGCCCTCATAAGAAAAGAAGACAGAGACACAGGCCATGTGAGACAGAGGTGGAAAATAGACTGATATGTCTACAACTGAAGGACTGTCCATAATCCAAGATGAGAGAAAGGCATACAAGAGGTTCTTCCCAGAGCTGCAGAGAAAGCATAGCTCTGCTGGCACCTTGATCTTGGCTTTGCTAGCTTCCAAACTAGGAGAGAGTATGTTTCTGTTGTCTTAAGCCACGTAGGTTATGGCTATCTGTAAGCCCAAGAAACTAATACAGGGTAGTTTTAAAAGGGAATCTCAGCAGAATGAACCCTCATGTAAACTGTGGACTGTAGTTAATAATAATATATCAATATTGGTTCATCAACTGTAAGAGATGCAAGATGTTACAAGTAAGGAAAACTCTGGGGGCTGGGTATATGAAATTCCATGTATTATCTGCTCAATTATTCTGTAAATCTTACACTGTACTAAAAAAAAAATAGTCTATTACTTTAAAGGAAAAATTTTAGGACACACAGCACCCCAGCAGTTTTACTCAGAAGTTTTTCTGGGTAGGCTTAAACGGGGGCTGTGTTCACCCCACTTGGAAAAAACAGAGTCTGGCCTGGTACAGAGCCCAGAGCCTGGGTTTTGGCCTCAGGTATTTGCAGTGGCTGCAGCCATGCCAGGGAAGACACCCGGACTCTCTGGCACAGACCCCACTCAAGGACCAAAGTCCTGAGGCCTTCAAATTGCTGATCTGCCAGAAGCCCCCCAGCCTTGCTCAACACTGACTTACAGTTAATGAGAATATCAATTTTGCCAAACTCCTTCAGCGCCTGGTCCACAGCAGCCATGATGGCTGGGGGCACTCGGACGTCCATAGACAGAGGAAGGCACCGCTGGCCAGTGGCAGCAACTAGCTTCTTGGCAGCCTAGAAGCCAGACAGAAAGTCAGGGTAGACCACTCAACAGCCTCAGCCTGGAGGAACACTCTTCAGAGTTGATGAGGATGATGTATCCAGATTCTACTAGGACTGTGGATTTGGTGCTGGACACCACTCTGGGTAAGCCCAGCCTGCAAGTGTCCACTCCCTAGTGCTACAACCCTGGTCAGCATTTGTAAGACATCCCACACTCTCCATCTGACCCCCACCGTGCCCAGAATCCTCCATTCACACCACCATTACTGGTCAACAGCAGCTCCAGCTGACCTCCCACTGCTGCCAGAGACCACAGGTGGCACTGGTAACACTCTCCTCCCAGGTCAAAGACCCTACTGAGCCCAGAGATCTCTCAATACGAGGGCCTCTCATAGGACCCACTAATCACTTCCATGAAGCTCTGTATTTGAGACAGGAGAAAGTTTTGCTGTCACTATCCCTTGGGCCTTAACACCCTCCTAGCCCAAGCTCAGGGGCCCTATAGTAACCAGTAGACAGGACCACAGGATAGACCCTCACCATTGACACTCTCGGCAGGCTCCGGCTGGCGATGACTGTGTAGCAGCCATGCCTGCAAAACCAGATGGTAGATGTGAGGACAGTGAGGGGCTCTCCCAGGTAGGTGCCTGCCCAGGTGCTCAAAGCAGAGATCCACCCAAGAGTTTCTTAGGCAAAAGTCTTTTGGGTTTTGGGGTTTTTTTTTTTTTTTGAGACAGAGTTTCATTTTATTGCCCTTGGTAGTGTCGTAGCGTCATAGCTAACAGCAACCTCAAACTCTTGGGCTCAAGCGATTTTCTTGCCTCAGCCTCCCAAGTAGCTGGGACTATGGGCGTCTGCCACAATGCCCAGCTATTTTTAGAGATGCAGTTCTCATTCTTGATCAGGCTAGTCTTGAACCTATGACATAAGGCAATGCACCCGCCTCAGCCTCCCAGAGTGCCATGACGCCCAGCCCTTTTGTTTTGTTTTGTTTTTTGAGACAGAGTCTTACTATGTCACCCTCAGTATAGTGCTGTGGTGTCACAGCCCACAGCAACCTCAAATGCTTGGGCTTAAGCAATTCTCTTGCCTTAGCCTCCCAAGTAGCTTTGACTACAGACGCCCACCACCAAAGCCCAGCTATTTTTTGTTGTTGCAGTTGTCATTTTTGTTTAGCTGACCCAGGCTGGGTTTGAACCTGCCAGCCTCAATGTATGTGGGCTGGCACCATAACCACTCTGCTATCAGCGTTGAGCCTGCTTTTGTTTTTTGTTTTTTAAGACAGTCTTAGTCACTCTGGGTCAAGTGCTATGGCATCAAATCTTAAACTCTTGTGCTTAAAGAATCCTCCTGCCGGCTCGGCGCCTATAGCTCAACCGGCTAAGGCGCCAGCCACGTACACCTAAGGTGGCGGGTTCGAATCCCCAGCCCGGACCTGCCAAACAACAATGATGGCTGCAACCAAAAAAATAGCCGGGCGTTGTGGCGGGCGCCTGTGGTCCCAGCTACTTGGGAGGCAGAGGCAGGAGACTCGCTTGAGCCCAGGAGTTGGAGGTTGCTATGAGCTGTAATGCCACGGCACTCTACCCAGGGGGACAGCTTGAGGCTCTGTCTCAAAAAAAAAAAAAAAAAAGAATCCTCCTGCCTTAGCCTCCCAAGTAAGTAAGACTACAAGCACCCACCACAACACCTGGTGAGTTTTTCTATTTTTATTTATTTACTTATTTTTGAGACAGAGTCTCACCTCAGTTGCCCTGGGGTAGAGTGCTGTAGCATCATAGCTCACAGCAACCTCAAACTCTTGGGCTCAAGTGATCTGCTTGTCTCAGTCATCCCAGTAGCTAGTACTACAGGCATCTGCCACAATCCCCAGCTAGTTTTTCTTTTAGTAGAGCTGGGGTCTTGCTTTGCTCAGGCTGGTTTTGAACTCCTGTCTCAGCCACCTAGAATGTTAGGATTGTAGGAATGAGCCACCACACCTAGCCTTTCTTAGGCAAAAGTACCAGTCAAAGGCCAAAGGTGTGGCTGGCAGAGGGCACAGGCTGAGCAACTCTGGAGTTACCGCTAGTGAACACCACTGTTACCCACCCCAGGGTTTCTGGGCTGGAACCCTCTGATGTGGGGTATGCAAGTCACACAGATATGCAAACCGCACCCTAAATACCTTGTGCATTGCAGAGACAGCCCAGCCCAGACATCTGCCAGGGGTCTACTTCGTCCCCCTGGCTCTGCCCCACATACCTGAGCTCCCTTATCCCCATGGAATTGGAGTGAAAAGCAGAGAGCCCATTCTGAAGCCAGATGCCTCTCCTGCCCCACTCCCAGACAGACTGAGCCTCACAGTAACAAGCCAGCTATTGCCTGCCAAGCAGGTCCTATGGGAACTGCTGGCACTTCATCTATCTAATCTTCCAAATGACCCTAAGCACAGATGGCTAGATTCTTCTTGGAGAAGCAGCATGCACAAAGCATCAATTCTAAAAACAGTCCACCTGAAATGGAAGAGCACCCCAATCTCTTCCTGTGATACTGACGTCTTTGGTATTTAAGGGGACAGCTTGGGGGAACAGGGAAAGGGTTCCTCTCCCCCAACCTTAGCCTAACCCTGGCCCTCTGTCAGGTAGGGTGACAAGTTGCTGACCCTAGCCTGAGGCCACAGCACTTGTGTACCAGTAGACATGTGCTTTGCATGGCATAGGGACCTGATGTGACCTACCCTGACAGCTCTGTAAGGCCTTAGGAGGCCACAAAGCCAGAGCCACACAATCTCCACTGGCTGCTAGGAGACCCCAGAGTCCAGCCTCCCCACTAGGCCAATCTTTGACCCCTCACCAGACCATCTAGCAAGCACCTCAACCCTGCTGGCAGGTGGGAGACATTCACTGTCCTGCTCTCTAGAGGAGTTCCACCATCCACCATCATCTTGTCCAAGGATCCCAGGACCCAGCAGGGAGTTACCACCGATGAAGCAGTGCTCACCTCATGAAAATCTCTGCAATCCGGAAACCAATCCCAGAGCCTCCGCCTGTGATAAAGGCCACTTTGTCCCTGAAAGCAGAAAAAAGGAGGCTCTTTGAAAAGATACTGTTGGCTCGGCGCCTGTGGCTCAACCGGCTAAGGCGCCAGCCACATACACCTAAGGTGGCAGGTTCGAATCCCCAGCCCAGGCCCGCCAAACAACAATGACGGCTGCAACCAAAAAAAAATGGCCAGGCGTTGTGGCGGGCGCCTGTGGTCCCAGCTACTTGGGAGGCTGAGGCAGGAGACTCGCTTGAGCCCAGGAGTTGGAGGTTGCTGTGAGCGTGATGCCATGGCACTCTACCCAGGGGGATAGCTTGAGGCTCCGTCTCAAAAAAAAGAAAAAAAAAGAAAAGATACTGTTAACAGGGGGGCAGGTGTGCAGCCATACAGGGCTGTGACCCTTTAAACCTGGCAATTCCAACCCATCTGAATTGTTGACAAAGAACATGTACTACTTTCACAGGAAGAAATGAAAAGCTGCTTTATAAAACCTGGTATTCCTAGGCTTTGGGGTCTTCAGGAAAAGTTATTTCAACTTATTAATAAAATTCTCTGTTCATACTGCTCATAGAGCACTCTGTAAACCAAACAAAAAAAAAAAATTTTTTTTTTTTTTTTGGAGACAGAATCTCACTTTGTTGACCTTGGTAGAGTGCCCTGACGTCGTAGCTCACAGAAACCTCAAACTCTTGGGCTCAAGCGATTCTCTTGCCTCAGCCTCCTGAGTAGCTGGGAACACAGACACCCGCCACAACACCTGGCTATTTTTAGAGACGAAGTCTCGCTCTTGCTCAAGCTGGTCTCAAACCTGTGAGCTCAGGCAATCCACCAGCCTCAGCCTCCCAGAGTGCAAGAATTATATGCGTGAGCCACTGCGCCCGGCCAGTAAACCAAGTAAATTTTTAAAAAGATAAAAAATAATAATAAAATTCTCTGTTCAGAAGGCTGCCAAGTGAAACACGATTGAAAACATATTATAAGTTCCCCCCACCAACCCCACACTTGGGGGCCTGCACCACGCCAACTTCCGAGACACATGCTCTCCCGGGCGCTCACCGCAGCAGGTCCGGGCAGAAGAGATGGCGGTACTCAGGCAGACAGGCATCTTCCTCCACGTCGGGCGGCTGCTCGGCCATGGTGCTCGGGGAAGCCAAAGGCAACGATGGCGGGACTCAGCCACCAAGCAGCCACTAACCTCTGTACCAGGAGCTCTGAGGGAAAGCCCCGCCCACCCCCATGGAGGTCCCGCCCTCACGCACGGCATGCTGGGACTGGAAGTCGGTCAGGGCTGCGCGCACTGCAAATACTGGAGCAGACTTCTGCGCTTTTTGTTGGTTCTCCAGAGTTTGGCTTTAGCTCAGTGGTCGCGGCCTGCCGGATGCGCTGCCACCGCCGCTGGCCCAGCCGTACTTTTGAAATACCTAGTTGGAGTGTTTGAGCCCCTCGCCCTCGGACCTCACCATCCTGTTACATAAATATGGCAAACAACAAGGAAAAAGAAACTAGAGCCTAGGAGAGCGAAGGAAACCGAGGAGGGCCTTTTCCTCGCGTGGTCCTTCCTACTGCTGGTTCCCCAAGGGGCTGGTTTTGTTACCAATAAAGAAGGGCTGCTGGCCGGGAATGGTGGCTCATGCCTGTAATCCCAGCACTCTGGGAAACCAAGACAAGAAGATCCCTTAAGCTTAGGGGTTCCAGACCAGCCTGACCAGGAGCAAGACACCCCCACCCCCACCCCCGTCTCTAGTCTCTACTGAAAATAGAAAAAATAGCCCGGCATTGTGGTAGGCACCCTTGTTTCAGCTACTTGGGAGGCTGAGGCAGGAGGATGGCTTGAGCCCAGTAGTTAGAGTTGCTGCGAATCTCGCACTCTAGCCTGGGCAACATACTGAGACTGTCTCAAACAGTCAAAACAACAAAAAAAAAAAAACCAAAGCGCTGCTGGCACTTCATCCATACCCCACATAGCAGCTCAGGCCCAGGCATTTGTCACCAAGCCCAAGTTGGCTTCAACAGGTATAATAATGATATGTGATATACAGTGTCTGCTATCCGTGCTGAGAGCCCAGGAACCTACCTGGAGCCAGCACTGACTGGGGTTGGAAGGGGGGCAATGTGTGTGGTGTCTACATGGCAAAGAAGATGCCTGGCAGCTCCTGGCTTTGGGCCACATAAAGTCACAAAGTGGGGGACGTCTGTAGTCACCAGGCTCGCTCTGCCCTGGGTGCTCTCAGCCCTCACCCTCCCCTTCCTGTCAGCTCCAGCTGCAGCCTCCACACCTACTCAGGGAAGGCAGCTCTTCAGCAGGATCACACAAGTGGGGCTGGGATAACACCTAGCCTGGAGCTCAGCCCACATTCCCCAGACTCAGGTCAGAGGTCTCTGGATCCTTGCCTGGCTCATACATTCAACAAAGTTCTGGATCCCCTCATGGGTGTGCAACACAGTAAGCTTCATTGGTATTATTTAGTTTTTTTTTTTTCTTTGATTGTCTCAGAGTGTCACTCTGTTACCTGGGCTGGAGTGCAGTGGCATATCACAGCTCACTGAAGCCTTGAACTTCTAGGCTAAGCAATCTTCCCACCTTAGCCTCCTCAGAAGCTGGGACGGTGGGTTCCTGCTACAACACCAGGCTAACTTGTCTTACTGTGTTTTGTTGTTGTTGTTGTTTTAAAATATGAGATTTCATTGTGTTACCACCCTAGTCTCTGAAGTGATCCTGGAATTATAGGCATGGCCACCGCACCAAGCCAGATTCATTTTTTAAACTGCTACATCTTGCGTAAAAGCATCATTCCTGCCTGTGAGATGGCAGAAGTTGCCATGGACTTCATAATGAGCACACCACCCCCACATTCAGCATAGTGAATTTTAATATCTCCCCTTTAGGAGAGAAAAGGTTACACTGTCCAATTTTGAAGACACCCCAAAGGTTGTCTTGCACTTTGGTACAGAAAGGACTTGGTCCAGTCTTATGCTGGTTATGAACAGAAAGGCACATAAAATAGGTGGCTCAAAGTCCTCCAGGCTGGGGTGCAGCAGGTGAACAGGAAAGTGATTTGGGAGAGACAGATAAGGGCATGGGCTTGATTTCATGTTGACCGAGGTAGTTGGTTCCGGTTGGGCAGTGGGGTGGCCAAGGGCAGCCTGAGCCCTCAAGCTGGGTAGATGTTGCTTTGCTGGTCCCCGTCTGCCCAGTTCACCAACTCACTGCTCTGGAACCACAGCTGGATCTCTCTCTGGGCCCCCTCAATGGAGTCACTGGCGTGAATGATGTTCCTATGCCAAGTGACAGGAGGGAAAAGGTAAGGCTCAGGCTGCAGTGTTCAGCTTGGGGAGTCCCAGGGTCTATCTGATGCCCCCTTGCCTTCTTTCTAGCGAACAAGCTGGGTAATTGTGCAAAGGGGAAAGAATCACGGGGTAGGGGATTGGAAAACTGGGTTCTAACCTGGCCTTAGCCTCTTGCTCACAACCTCCTAGACCAGTTGGGACCCCAACTTTTGGGCACCTCATTTTTCCCCCAGCTGTCTCATGCCAACCCCTAAGGGCATCTGGCAAGTTAGGCAGTGATGTCAGAGAACATACACAACACAAAGCAAATGCTTCATCACCTCTTATGTACGGGGCGAGGGGGCAGGGGTAGAATGTGAAAAAAAGCTCCAACCATGCAAGCTGTAATATCCCACCATAAAAAGTCTTTTGGCTTAGGGGCGGCACCTATGGCTCAAAGGAGTAGGGCGCCAGCCCCATATGCTGGAGGTGGAGGGTTCAAACCCAGCTCCAGCCAAAAACTGCAAAAAAAAAAAAAAAGTTTTTTTGGTTTCCTTTTTTTTTTTTTTTTTTTTTTTTTTTTTTTTTTTTTGAGACAGAGTCTCACTTTCTCACCCTTGGTAGAGTGCTGTGGTATCATAGCTCACAGCAACCTCAAACTCTTGGGCTCAAGTGATCCTCTTGCCTCAGCCTCCCAAGTAGGTGGGACTACAGGTGCCTGCCACAACACCCAGCTATTTTAGAGAGAAGGTCTCACTCTGGTTCACGCTGGTCTCGAACCTATGAGCTCAGGCAATTCACCTGCCTCAGCCTCCCAAATGCTAGAATTACAGGCATGAGCCACCTCCCACAGCCCCACTTTCTTTCCTTTTTTTTTTTTTTTTTTTTGGATGGAGTCTCAATCACCCAGGCTAGAGTGCTGTGATGAGGAGTACCACAACCTCAAACTCTTGAGGGATCCTTTTGCCTCAGCCTCCTAAGTAGCTGAGACTACAGGCGCCTGTCACATGTCCAACTATTTTTAGAGATGGGGTCTCATACTTGCTCAGGCTAGTCTGGAACTCCTGAACTCAAGGGAGCCACCCAACTTAACCTCTTAAGGTGTAAGAATTACAGGCATGAGCCACCATGCCCGGCCCTTGGCTTCATTTTCGGCATAGGAAGACACCTAGGTCTTATGGATCTGCCTTGGGAACAGGCTATCACCCCAAATAGGCAGCTGAATGTGTCAGGGCCCTCATACCTGCTGATGTGGATGCTAAAGTCTCCCCGGATAGTCCCGGGGGCAGCTTCTGCTGAGTCAGTATGTCCTATCATGGCCCTCGAGGCACGAACCACATTGTACCCTTCCCAGACCTGTAGCAAGAGATAAAGTCTGGGGAGAAGTGGGGAGCACCAAGGGCCCCCAGGTTCAATCCAGGCCCCTTCCATTTGCTTGGGGGAGGACACTCCACATATCTTCCACTACCCCTACCCACCATACCATGGCCACTACAGGCCCAGAGCTCATGTAGCTGATGAGAGCTGGGTAGAAAGGCTTTCTCCTCAGGTCCTGGTAGTGCTCAGCAAGAATTCTCTCTGGTGCCTGGGTGGTATAGGGGGAGGGGTATACCCAGGGCACTGAGCCAGTGCCTGGACCTCAGAGCACTCTCAAGATAATACCCTACATGGGCTCCCAGCCAGAGAACAGATGCCTCCCTACCCACTTCAACCGCCAAAGCCAGGGCATTCCCCCTGACACTAGCTGAGATGTGAACAGAGAAGCATCCCCAAGTCCCCTCAAGGACACCCACCAGCCAAGAGACCTGGTTGGTACCTGCAGCATCTTCATCCCCACCAGCTTGAAGCCTCGCCTCTCAAATCGCTGGATTACATCCCCAACCAGCCGCCGCTGCACTCCATCTGGCTTCACTGCCACCAAGGTCCGCTCTCTGGTCCAAGAGGGCCCTCCTTTAAAAGAGGAGGGGTCGGCTCAGCGCCTGTAGCTCAAACGGCTAAGGCACCAGCCACATATACTAGAGCTAGCATTCAAATCCAGCCTGGGCCTGCCAAACTACAATGATAACTACAACCAAAAAATGACCAGGCATTGTGGCAGGTGCCTATAGTCCCAGCTACTTGGGAGGCTGAGGCAAGAGAATTGCTTAAGCCCAGGAGCTGGAGGTTGCTGTAAGCTGTGATGCCACGGCACTCTACCCAGAGCGACAGCTTGAGACTCTGTCTCAATAAATAAACAAATAAACAAAAAAGGAGGGGTCATGGCTGCTGCTGCTTCACATTTCCATGCCCCCCCCCCCAACCTGGGTTCCTCTGCCAGGGCCCAGGCAACACCGGGCTTCAGGGGGTCTGCCTCTAGGCAGGACAGCTCTGGAAGAGACAAGTGCAGTACCCAGAGTCAGAAAATGCCCCCATGGCACTGCCTCTCAGGGATACCCAGGAAATGTGTCCCCTGGGGCAATGTGTCCCCTGGGGCTTCTAGCCTGTCCCAGGGGCAACAGCTTTATCCAGCAGTGACAGAAACTGCCCAAGGTGGAGTGGAGCCAGCTTGCTTGGGTAGGCATCTTAGCCTAGAGTCCAGGAGTCACAGCCCAGCTCAGTGACCACCTGGAGCCCTGAGGACACTACCCTGGGGAGAAAGCACAACTTTGGGCTCACTCTTAACTGCTGTCCCTTTGGGTGATGGCATAGACACCGTCTGAACCCCAGACCTTCCATATCAGGAAGAACCAACAGCCCATCCTCCAGATTTGAAGCGAAAGAATGGCAGGGGAGAAGCGTACTTTCTCCACCAAATGGGCTGTGGATACAGGGCCAGAGATGGAGAAGAAAGTAGAGGGGTTCTTGTCTACAGTAGGAGACTCGGGAGGGCTGCTTCTTGCACACTGTGCCAGTCAGAGACTGTGCTGCTTAGGGCTCCTAGGCCAGAAGCTTCCAGACCTAGGATCAGCACTAAGCTCTGCCCAGCTTGTCTCCTCTGGAGGGGACCTGCCAGGGAGCCAGGAGACATTCTCACCCTCCTACAGCTCCAGGCCATTCCCAGAGTGATGCTGAGCCTCTAGCATTGGATCCAAGGTCAAAGGCTGCTTTGGAGAGGAGCCCAGACCCTTGATGTCCACAAAAAGGTGTACAGAGCCAAAAGAGAAAGGGCAAATTAGGGGTCCAGGAAGGCTGAGTGTTGAGCTTCACCCTCAAGAGTGGTGGGTGTGCACCATGGGCCTTTTGGACTAAACAAAGCCCAGGACACCCCCTGCTTGTTTCTTCTCTCCAAATCCAGTTCACAAGGGTCCCTTGTCTAGCCTGTGGGATCTAGTGTGGCCACTTTCTGCCTTGTAGGATGACAATTGCCCTTTCAGGGCGCGTAGAAGGAGCATTTTGACATTTGCACTCAGAAAGCACCGTGAGTTGTCAACCAGGGCAGGATCCCAGGCAGCAGTGGATGTAGAGTGTAGTGTCTCCATTCTGTCCTAATTTGGCCAGGAAACAGCCCTGCCACAGCAGGTCCCTGGAGAATGCTCTTCTGCTGAGGATGAGCCTCTATACAAGACCCCGGTCCAATAAGACCCCCATCACAGCCCTGTGTGGCCTCTGGGCCTTGGACTTTCAATTGCCCCAGAGCCCTCGGTCCCCGACCCCGCCAACACACACACACCCGAGACACCCTGAGAAAAAGGGCTGCAAGGGGGCCCGCCAGACGCAGGTGGGGAGAGAACTTCAGGGCCTGCGGTCCGAGCCTCTGATTCCCGGCTTGGCCAGACCCCCACCCCCACCCCCACCCCCGCACGTGCGCGAACAAAGGCCGAGCGGCGCGCTCTTCCTCCGGCCTCCCGGGTAGTCCGGCCCAACTCACCCCAGCAGGTGCGCACCAGCAGGCTCAGGGCTGGGGCCCGCCGGTCGCAGCGTAACCCCCGCAGCGCCGCGCGCCCGAAGAGGCTGCCCATGACGCTAGGCGGAGGGGAACCAAACCAAGACCCGCGCTGAAAGGGCGGTGCCAGACTTCAGGCCCGTCCCCCGCAGGCCCTAGACCCACCTAGGACCTCACTCCTCCACACAGACCTGCCTCCTGGTCCCAGGCCCACTGTAGATCCCCACCCCTCTGTCCCTGGCCCTGACCACCCATGCCCAGGGCCTGCACCACCAGACTGGCCCCGGCCCCGCCCCCCATCAAAGACCCGCCTCCGCTCTATCCCTGACCGATTGCTGACCCGTGTTCAAGCCAGCTGCTCAAGCACAGCCTGGGGCTCACAGGCCCCTGGGAGTGGCTTTTCTTTTGAGGCAGGGTCTTCCTCTTTTGTCACGGGTAGAGTGCAGTGACATCACCACAGCTCACTGCAGACTCAAACTCCTGAGCTCAACCCATCCTCCTGCCTCAGCCTCCCAGTAGCTAGAACTACAAGCATGCACCACCACAGTTGGGGAATTTTTCTGTTTTTGTACAGGTGGTCTCCAACTCCTGGTCTCAAAACATCCTCCTACCTCCTGTCTTCCAGAGTGTGAGCCACATACCCTGATGTGTGAATGTTTAATGTCGATTTCTGTTGAAATCAGAAGAAAAAATATAGTAATAAAGAATTCATCTTGGATTATACTCATCCTTATAATAAGGCATCATTAAATATCTTTTAAAATATTTTTCTTGGGGAAGGCCCCACCCAAATCCTAATGTAGCCCATGATGGTCTCAAGGTCAGTGTCTTCAAACCACCTCCTTCTCCCGGACCTGGGGCTCCCTTAGAGATTACATCCTCTGGGTGGCTCCTGCAGCTCAGCCGCTAAGGCGCCAGCCACGTACATCAGACCTGGTTCGAATCCAACCCAAGCCTGCCAAACAGTAACAACTACTACAACCTAAAAATAGCCGGGCATTGTGGCAGGCAGAAGTAGTCCCAGCTACTCAGGAGACTGAGGCAAGAGAATCACTTAAGCCCAAGAGTTTGAGGTTGCTGTGAGCTGTGATGCTATGGCACTCTACCCAGGGCTATAGCGTGAGGCTGTACCTCCTCCCCCCCCCCAAAAAAAAAAAGAAAAGAAAAAGAAATTACATCCTCCATCAGAGGAGCACACTAGGATCTGGATTGTCAGAGAAAAGGTTAGACCATGGTTTCTCATCCTACAATATATATATATAT